CTACTTTTGTTAACCATTTCTAAAAGCAAAGAGAGGTGTTGGGATGCATTTTCTTCATCAACAAATTATACAGTAAGATTCTATAAACCTTTTATGTCTTAGTCCCTAATTAGAATGTCAACTCCTTGTAAGTTGGAACCATGAATTTCTTTTGTATCTCTACTCTCTACCAGAAAGGTTTTAATTAAGTGAAGAATATTTGATTTCAGGTAGGGAATTTCCCTCCACTCTTCCACAGGCAAACAGCAACTACTTAGCTCTAGAGAAGGCCTAGGGAGTTACTGGAAGCTGGTAGAGGTTAAACGATTTGTTTAGAGTAAGGAGCTTGTCTGAGGTCACAGAACTAGAAAATTCAGATTCTAGGTAATATGATCAGAGATCTAGGTCTGGAAGGGATGTCAGAGGTCCACCCCTTGTTTTACAGATGAGGAAACAAGGGCAAAGAAAGTGAGGTAATTTGTCCAAGGTTACACAGGCAGTAAACCCAAGATTCTAGAGCCAGAATTCTTCTGCTATATAAGGTTCACCTGTTTCCAAGATCAGCTCTCTATCATATGCCTCTATTGAAAACACACCAAAAAATCCTAAGTAGCTCGGTAAACAGAGCACTGAGCCTGGAGTCAGGAAGACTTTAGCTCTAATACTTACTCAGATACTTACTAGATGGGTGACCTTGGGCAAATTATTAACCTCTGTTTGCCTAACTTTCCTCAGCTATAAATAGGGATAACAATAGCCCAGGGTGGTTGTGAGGATCAAATAAGAAAACATTTATAAGGCACTTAGCACAGTGCCTGGCACAGAGTGGGCACTTAAGAAGTGCTACTTTCCTTTCTTCCTAAGTCTCAAAGAACTGAATATTCACAGATACAAGTCAGATGCACTCTTTCCTAGATACGCTCATATACAGTCAGGCCTGCAATCCTCTTTCATGCACTAATATAACCACAGAAAACTGCAGTCACATCGGAACGGGCAATCAGCGATATTCTCACACACGGCCACAAATATATTCTCCATATGCTTCTATGTGGCCATACAGTCAATATCTGGCACAGACAGGACCTAAATTCAGATTTTTCTGACTCTAGGGGAGGCTTCTGTCCACTAGGCTGACTATCAGTGCTCCAGGCATCTCTCTAGGGCTGTTAGACCTTAGTTGCTAGTCCATGTCAATAGAGGTCATTTCTATTTAAATCATAGGTAAGGATCAAAAAAAATGCTCACCAGTACTAACAATAGCTAGTATTTATCAACGTAACCACAGTGCCAAGATCCACGGACATTGGACTTTCTCCTTATGGATGGAGATCGATGTCCATTGCCTGCCTGAGGGGCAGGAAAGAATTGGTGGGAGCCTGTCTATCCTGCCTCCCTTGGAATTTTCTTCAAGTGTTTCTCCAATTCTTCAACTCTTGGGGCTCTGAAGCTGCTTTGGGAGCTGGCTTCCAGCTTTGGGAGAGAAGATAGATGATGACAAGTCCACTTCAGGCTGCTGAAGGAAAAGATTCTGGGAAGAAGCTGGTAGTCTCTGTCCTGTCCCTATCCCCAGCTTGCCTACGCTAGAGACTCTGGGGAAGTTCCTCTTGAGAGACACCTAGAACTTTCTCTTAGTTGAGCAGTTACTCCACTGAGAGAGCTGCTCCACTCTTTATTGTCTGGTATATATTGTTTACTTTCTCCAAATTCTGTTTTGCTATCAAATTGGATAAATGGATTTCTTTGGTAAGTACTGTTTGGATTCATTGTGTGATATTTGGTGGGGAAGGGTTCAAGCTTGGGGTCCTGCTTCTCTTCAATTAATGAAACAGGATTAGAATTTAGATTGAACCCCAAGACATCCCCAAGACAAGTAATATGTAAGAGAGCAGGTAGATGTACTAGCCTGGCACTCCTGCTCTCTTAGAAGGGCTCCATCTAGCCCCAGCTTCCTGCTTACTTTCCTAGTCTCTTTTGGAGAAAGGTAAGAGGAGAAGAGGTTAGAGATAATCCATTCTGCCTCCCTTCAAGTCGCATGACAGTCCCATGCTACATGTGGGATAGCCCTTGCCATATATATTATCTTAACGGTTCCCAAGAGATTTGTGCATGTTATTTCATTTGATTCTCACAAGAATCATAATCACATGGACTATGGTACACACATATTCAAATTAACAAATGAGTAAGCTTTTATTGTGCTTACTATAAGCAAAGCATTATAGATAAAATTGGAAAAGCAGAGACAAGCCCTGCTCTCAAGGAGCTTACATTCAATGGGGACAATAACGCAGTGTGGAAGATTTCAGCGGCCTGAAAGTCAGATGGAAAGATCCATGGTTTTTGGAGTACAGCAGTAAAGCAGATTGGAATGCATCTTTATTGTCATTTCCACTGAAGGAACCATATCCATTCTGACATTGAGCCCTTTGATGGTGCTAAGGATTTTGGTGGTTCTTTTTGGGTTTTTGAATAGCTGGGGCTGCTGAGGAGGAAGAGGCTGTTGTTTGTACCTGTAGAAACAGTTGTCAGAATGCATCTCTTCAGGGCCCACTTCACTGTGTGATAGCTGCAGAGACCCACCTGGAAGCAGGACTGGTGGAGCAGGCAGTCCCCAGTTTCTTTCAAGTTCCAGCATAAATCTCACCTTCTACAGGAAGTCTTTCTCCCCTGCCCCAATATTTAGTATTTTATTTTTCCCCAGTTACATGTGAAAACAATTTTGGGGGGAGGGGTTTGGTGAGGCAATTGGGGTTAAGTGACTTGCCCAGGGTCACATAGCTAGTGTCATGTGTCTGAAATCACATCTGAACTCAGGTCCTCCTGACTCCAAGGCCATAGCTCTATCCACTGCGCCACCTAGCTGCCCCTGAAAACAATTTTTAACATGCATTTTTAAAACTTTTGAGTTCCAAATTCTCTCTCTTCCTCCCTCTCCACCCTCACTGAGAAGGCAAGCAATTATAGGTTATTCATGAGCAGTCATGCAAAACGTATCCATATAGCCATTTTGTGAAAGAAAACATAGACAAGAAAAAAACTGAAGAAAAATAAAGTTTAAAAAAAGTATGCTTTAATCTGTATTCAGACTCCATCAGTTCTTTCTTTGGGAATGGAGAGGATTTTCATAATAAGTCCTTCAGAGATGTCTTAGATTGTTGGATTGCTGAAAATACTGTCATTCACAGCTGATCATCTTACAATATTGTTATTACTTTGTACACAGTACATTTCACTTCGCGTAAGCAGATGCAAGTTTTTTCCAGAAAGCCTGTTCTAATCATTCCCTTGTGGATTATATCCTTTTATCTGTCTATAGACTGTTGGTACAAAGTTCCTTTATGTTTTGAGCTCCTTGAAAACAGGGACTGTTTGTGCTTTTCTTTGTATTCCCAATATTTAGCCTGGCACATAGTAGGAGTTTAATAAACACTTATTGACTGACTTCAGCCCAGATCATTTGGGCTGATGGTCATAGGCTACCTCCAATAGGAGTCTGAGCAGAAGTGGTCATTGAGGTATGACAGTGATTTGACTTGCCTGACACATGCTACTTTTCTCTCCTTTGTGGTTCCTTGTTGATAAGCTAGGCTGGCTTGGCTGTCCACTAGGTGGCTAGGTCAGTAGAGAAGTAGTCACACACTGATTCATTCTGATGTACCCAGCCAGCTAGAGATGATCTCTCTCTCTCTCTCTCTCTCTCTTTCTCTGTCTCTGTCTCTCTCTTCCCCTACACACACACACACACACACACACACACACACACACACACACACACACACACACACATTCTGTTTCATATACTCTCCTCAGATTCATTAGCCTCTAAAATTTAAATACATAGAAACCAATAGTGACTTCCTACCATATATCATAACTACATCCCAGAGTAATGAATAACAAATAAAAGCGGAAGTCCATGCTGATAGCTAACCATCTTTGAATGTTTTACTCATTCTAAGTTCAAAAATAATTCACATAAGAGAACAATGACCTCAACCTGTGTTACAGGGGAAAGAACACTGAATTTGGAATCAAAGTCCTTGGGGTTCAAATCTCAGCTCTTTCACTTACTATCTAAGTGTGGTTGGAAAGTCAAGCAACCTCTCTGGGACTTAGTTTCCTCATTGGTAAAATGAAGGGGTTGAATTAGATGATCTAAGTTTCCTTCAGCTCTAAATCTATGACATAGGGCTCAGAAATCCAAAGGACATTTCTGTATTGACCTACTGCAGCGCTTCTCAAGTATTTTGATCTCAAGACCTCTTAAAAATTATGGAAGAGACCAAAGGGCTTTTGTTTATGTGGATTATATCTATCAATGTTTATCATATTAGAAATTAAAGCTGATAATATTTTTTCAATATTTGTTTATTCATTTAAAATTATAAACCCATTAAATATTATTATAAATAACATTTTAAAAAGAAAAATATATTTTTCAAAACAAAAAATTAGTAAGAATAGCATTGTTTTATTATGTTATTGTTATCTTTGCAAATCTCTTTAGTGTCTGGCTTAATAGAAGATATTTGAATTCTTATATTTGTTTTTGCATTCAGTTTGTTGCAATGTGTTATTTTGGTTGAAGCAAATAGAAAGGAAATATGGCTTCACACAGATAAGTAGTTGGAAAAGGAAGGAGCATCTTAATAGACAAATAATGTAGTGTTATCATAAAAATAGTTTTGACCTCATGGAACCCCCGAAAGGATTTTGGGGATCATCACACTCAGAATTTCTGGCCTACTGGATCAACAAAAGGAGGTCAATAGAAAGATGTAAGTCTTTATGTAAAATGTTCATTAGCATTTAAAGGAATATCAGTGATATTTTTTAGGATAAATACTCAACCCTTATCTTAGTACCCACAGAAAAGAATAACAGTCCTTTGAGATTAGGCTTATGCAGAGCAAGCTATGATTCCATCCAATCTACTCAAAATAAAGTTTAAACAAGTATGTCTCAAAACAAAGTTTCTGTAATAATGACACAGTAGGAAAAAACAGAAATCATCTTACTTTTTCAGCAAAGGTACCAAGCCCAATGATGGGAATGCTATTTCCATCATTCAAAGGTATTCGGTGATCATTGGCAGTAAAGTTCATGGTGCAGAAGAGAAGAGCAAGACTTGGATTTCCAAATTTGCAGGCACCTCTGTGCTTTGTGTAAAACTTTCTCGGAGCAGGGGCGGTCCTGGTAAGGAGGAGGGACAGCTAGAGGGAGGTGGTAAGCTAAATATCAGTTTCTTAACCTTTTCTACGCCAGGGAAATAAACTATTGTTGTTCTTCAACTTGACCTTCTGGTTTTCCCAAGGGAAATGTTAAAAAAAATGAATAAAACATATTTTATCCTTGCAAATGACTGCCACAATAAAAGGACTCCATGGTTAACTTAGATCAGCCATACTTTTATTCCTCAAGCTACAGAACCCCTTTTACTCCGTACCACAAGGGCTAAGGAATGGAGGATTATGGTAGTCGGCAAAATAGACCACAGAAAATGGGTAAGAAATGCTGCTTAAATTCATTGTATTTTTAAGTCAATTTTAAAAATTCTGAACTTAAACATAAAAAAGCATTTCCATACGCACAAAAGAACACAAAAAGAGGATTGTATATGAAACTGAATCTCCATTTTAAGTCACTTGCATTAAAAAAAATAAAGTAGTCCACAACAAACATTTATTAAGCACTTACTTTGTGTGGGCACTGTCCTAAACAGTAGGGATAAAAAGAAAGGCAAAACATGTTCCCTGCCTTCAAGGATCTCACATTCCAACAGTCAATAAATATAGTCAGTAAGTAAGCACTTATTATGTGCTAGGCCTGTGCTAAGCTGGGGGTTACAAATACAGGGTGGAAAAAGGAGTCTTTGCCCTCAAGGAATTTACAATCTATTCTACAATATGCAAAAGGAAGCTGAAAATGGGTAGGGAGTATCGAATCTGGGGACATGGTAGAGAAGTCAGAGCAGTCTCAAAGTACTGCAGCCAGGTGAAAAATTTGGAGATGTCCAAGCTGAGCCTCCTCTTAAACAGAGGTTTGGAGTTCATGGTCCCACCCTCCAGTCTGAGATGCTTAGGGTAGCGATGAAGTGGAATTGCTGAGCCTCAAGAGATCTTACTGGATGGTGAGGACCATGGATGAAACAGCATGCAAGCAATTATTTACATACAAATTATTCACAGAGTACAAGGAAAGCAATTTCAGAGGGAAGGAACTGGTAGCTTAAGGGTGGGGGGGGGGCTGTGATATCTCCTACAGAAAGTGGTATTTGAACTGAGCCTGGAAGGAAAGGAGGGAAATCAGGAGGTGAAGGTGAGCTGGGAGAGCATTACAGCCAGTGAAAAGGCACTGAGTCAGGAGATGAGTGTCACGTGTGAGGAAGAGCAAGAAGACAGAGTTCATAGACTGGAGGGTTACGTGGAGAGGGTAAATTGTAAGAACACTGGAAAATAGGAAGGGGGTGAGGTTTCGAAAGCCTTTAGAAGTCCAATGGAGGAGTTTACGTTTGGTCCTAGAGATAATAGGAAGCCACTTGCTGTCTATCGAGTAGGGACATGGCATGGAAGGAAGATCACTTTGGCAGCTAAGTGAATACAGGAGGATGTTTTGGAGTGGGGAGAGATTTGAGACAGAGAGACCAATGGGAAAGCTACTGCAAAAGACCAATCTTGAAGAAAGAAGGGCCTAGGTGTATCAGGGCAGCAACTGGAGCAGTGGAGAGACAGGACATATGCAAGAGATATTCAGAGGTTAAAAAAAAAACCAAACCTACCAAAACCATGATTTGGCAACAGAATGTTTATGTGGGATGAAGGCAAGTGAGGAGTTAAGGATGACATCAAGATTTCTAGCCTGAGTGATGGCAAGGATGGTGGGGTACTTGACAGTAAAGTTGGGAAGAGGGGAGAGTTTCTAGGGGGAAGATAATGATTTCTATTTTGGGACTTGTTGAGCTTAAGATATGGCAGGACATTCAGTTGAAGGCTTCTAAGAGGTAGTTGGAGTTACAAGACTGGGATGTAGGAGAAAAGTTAGGTCTAGAAATATGGATCCGAGAATCACGTTCGTAAGGATTATTACAACCATGGGAGCTAATGAGATCACCAAATGAGACAGAACAGAGGGAAAAGAAAAGAAGGTTCAGGACCGGATCTTAGGGGACCCCATGGCCAATAGATGTGACCTAGATGAAGGATAAGCAAACAAAACTGAGGGGAGAGAACCTGGAGAGAGCAGTATGATGAAAACCTAGAGAGGAGAGAACATCCAGGAGAAGTAAATGATTAACAATGTCAAATACTACAGAGAGGTCAAGGAAGATCAGGATCTAGAAAGGCCATTATTATTGTTGTTCCGTCTTGTCCAACACTTCATGACCGCATTTGGGGTTTTCTTGGCCAAGATACTGGAGTGGTTTGCCATTTCCTTTTCCAGCTCATTTTACAGATGAAGAAACTGAGGCAAACAAACTGAGAGTTAAGTGACTTGCTCAGGGTCACAAAGCTAGAAAGAATCTGAGACCAGATTTGAACTCAAGTCTTTTTGACTCCAGGCCCAATGCTCTATCCACTGGGCCACCCAGCTGTCCCAGAAAGGCCATTACACTTGACAATTAAGAAATCATGGGTAACTTTGGAGAAAGCAGTTTGAATGATGAGGTCAGATGCCAGATTTCAGAGAGTTTTGAAGAGAATGAGAGCAGAGAAAAGTGAAAGCACCAATTGTAGATGGTGTAGATGGTAGATTCTCAAGGATGTATAAAGAAGAGAGATAGCCAGTGAGGATGGTTAGATCAAGTGAGAATTTTTTAAGTATGGGGAAAAGGGGTGTGCTTGTAGACAATAGAAAAGGTGACACTATAGCAAATAGAGAGAGAATGGAGATCAGCAAGAGATTGGGGATCACCTAGGGGCAATCTGTGGAAGAAGACAGATCAAATGAAATCAAGGGTACAAGCAGAGAGGTTTTCCTTGGCAAAGATAAGATCTATCTCTTTATGTGACAGGGGTGAAGGAGGAGACCGAAGTGGCCGAAGACAGCTGGGTGATATGAGATGAGGGGGAGGGGAGAAGGAGCTCTTAACAAATGTCTTCAATTTTTTTTAGTGAATTATGAGTCAATGGCCTCAGCTGAAAGAGTGGGGGAAGGGAATGTCATGAAAGGCTTGAGAAAGGGCAAAAGGGGTTGGAATAGCTGCTCTGGTAAATGGTATGGAGAACCAGTCAGGGTGGCCTTGTGAAGCCAGTTGAGATTTTGTAAACATGAATTTGTGGTGGGCCCTGTCGGACAAAATTTTCTCCAGTGTGTGAGTAGAAATGAATATGCTGGATGGTGTGAACAGTATAAGGTTGGAGTTTGATAAGGTATAATTGGTGAAAGGACAAGGGGGCAAGAGAATTGGAAGAAAAGGACAATATAGAGTTGAACTGATTCATAAGGAGTCAAAATATAGGAAGGTAAATCACTTAACTTCTTTGAGATTCAGTTCACTCATCTACAAGACAGAGTTCGTAATTGCACCTACATGTTAGCACTTTTTCTGAGGAGCAAATGAAGTAATGTATGCTTTGAAAGTCATGAATTGCTATATAAATGAAGCTAATTTTATTTATTTGGGGGATTACATTCAACTGGCTGGTTATGTGTATTGTGAAACACTGCCTCACAACCTTGGAAAGAATACTATTGAATACTCCAGTGATACTGAAGTGTTATAGAAAAATTATATCATAGTTAGCTGAGCCTAAATTCATTAAGAGCGTTTATGGCATTATCATACAGGAAACAGAAAGCCCTACTGAGACCCAAGTTCATACACACCAAATTAGTAGTAAAAGTAGAACTAGAATCTAGATCTTTCAAACTTAAGGGCTCACCACCATCATCATTATCATTATTATCATCTAAATGGCAGCTAGGTAGTGCAGTGGATAGAAAGCTGGACTTGAAGTCAGGAAGACTTAATTAAAATCCAGTTTCCAGGGGAAGCTAGGTGGAGCAGTGGATAGAACACTGGTCCTGGAGTCAAGAGTACCTAAGTTCAAATCTGGCCTCAGACACGTGGCACTTACCAACTGTGTGACCCTAGGCAAGTCACTGAAACCCAATTGCCTTGCCAAAAATAAATAAAATAAAATCCAGTTTCAACACATAGTAACTATGTGACTTTGGGCAAGACTCTTCACTGCTGTCTGCCTCAGTTTCCTCATCTGTAATATGTGTATAACAATAACACCCACCTCCCAGGGTTGGGAGGATAAAATGAAATAGTATTTTTAAAGTACTTTGCTAACCTTAAAGAGATACGCAAATGTTAATTAGGATTCACAATATATCACACTACCTCTAGTCTTTACAGTATTATATTTACTGAATATTATTACAGTGATGTAATATTCAGAGAAATAGTAGCCCACGTTGTATCATAGAAGACCATAGGATCTAGAGCCAGCATGGACTTTAGGGATCATTTAGCCCAATGCCCCTTATTTAATATATGAGGGAACTGAGGTGAGGTGAACTGAGGTGAATTGTTCTGTCAGGGAGGTGAAATGACTTGCCAGGTCACATAGGTAAGCAACAATGCTGTGATTCAAACTCAGATCCTTTGATTCCAAAGTTAGTACTTCTTTCCATACAATCCACAAAAAAGCCTCACGTTTAGCACATATAGACTGTGGGCTCACTCTTCCAACCTCAGCTCATGGTATTGTACTCTTTGCCACTCTTGATTAATCAAAGGTGCAGCCTTCAGGGAAATGGGAACATGTAATATATCATGTGGTGCAACAACTCCATAATAGGCTTGACTTTAGAAACTACTGTTTAGCTAGTTTCTCCCCCCCTGCTTAGGCAACTGGGGTTAAGTGACTTGCCCAGGGTCACACACCTAGTAAGTGTCAAGTGTCTAAGGCTGGATTGGAATTCAGGTCCCCCTGACTCTAGGGCTGGTGCTCTATCCACAGCGCCACCCAGCAGCCCAGCTAGAAGTCTTTTTTTGAAGGATTTCCTGCTGAGTACTTTTAAAAAGCACAGTATAGTGAAGTAGTACCTGAAAGAGAAGCAGAAGAGGAGATCACATACTCTGCATTTGAGACAAACTTGCCCACAGCCTTCCCTGAAGCTTGGAAGACTTTCCTTCCTCATATCTGCCTCCTGGAGTCTATAGCCCTTTTCA